TTCGATGGAAACTTATATCTACACGTCCTCGGTGTTGCGACGGCAAGCCCGCAGGGTTTAGTGTTAGTCGGTATCTTTGTCAGATATCTAGAATAAAGATAAAACTGTCAACCCATACACCTCGACAGGTATTATGTTGACGCCAAATTTTCAAGGCGTTCGGAATGAGAAACTAACTGCGTCGTTCAAATCAAGCTCAAGGACATACTACGTTGTTTCGATTACTGTTTTCCATAAAAGAGAAAGTAGTGGAGGGCCAAAGATGAGATTTAAGGAGCTTATTATCTGTCGGGTTGTAAGCTATGCATGTATTATTGTATCGTGAAGTGTACCAGCGATAGCACGAGCATGAGAGCATAAAGCTGAATTTTTGTGAGATCTTAAGCTGATGTAACGCACCAAAGCATCCGTCATGTGACTAAAAATGATGACGTGGTATCGTAACGAGGAGGCGAGCTGGCTGGGAAAACGTCTATTGGTCCAATTCAAAAACAAACAGTGTCTACGTTCGATCATATACAGTGAATTCTGAACCGCGCGGCGGGATGATTCATGCCTCTTTCTGTGGATCATTCGTTGTCGATCTTGGTCCGCACTTGGCACGTGCGTTGCCTCTTCTTCCGCGTGCCACTCCGACTGGTTTGACCCGATCGCGGCGCGCGATGCGTTGATCGACAGCTCCGACGTTGTGGCATTCGGTGGGTATCTTTCCCGTTAGCTGCGGATTGTCTTTCGGGCTGTAATTGTCGATTCACTCGTTTCGAGTGGCATTCAACATTGTCTCGCGAGGCACTTCCCGCCACTGCGTCTGTACGTCTGGTCGGATGGGCCCCATTCTTGCTTCGGTCGCTAGCCAGGACTCTCTTTGAACTGCCTTCCGTCACAGTATGACCTTGCCGTCGTGCGAGGTCTCATCACCTGTTTCTCTCCACAGGGTGCAGTGAAACGAAGATGTCATAAAATGATCCATTCTCATGGAACGTTGATACCAGTCTGATTCCTTATCATGCACACACAGGAAGCTGATTTGCGTGCAGGTGCGTGAATTTTTCTCTTCTGTCTTTGCGGTTCAGTTCCAATATGTTTTCTCTTGCAGACCTATTGAATGGAATTTCGTGAAGTTTTTGATCAATCGCAAAGGATTCCCGTACGAACGCTACACATCTACCTCATCAACTGATGTGAGTGTTTTATGTCTATAACATACCTCCTTTGTTTTCAGTTCTAAAATTCAAACCCTCAGTGACAGCAGTTCATACACAACGCAATGTATATTTGAAACAAATTAAATCTCCTAATGTTCACCCTTTGGATACCTGTCCTTTAATTTTATACAATGCATTGTATTGAAGCTTGAGCGAGTCATATACAAGCTTCCATAGATCCTCTGCATTATAGCCACCCACACCTTTCGGTTGACGTCGAGGTCAGCGAAGATGGAGTTACGCCTTTGGTTCCAATCTGGGGCGCCGTAGGAGAGCGTTTTGAGGAGCTAGCATTGCGTATCGGACTGATGCATTCCGTCAGACGAACACTGTGATGGTAGCCCTATTCAGGACATGGCGTCGGATCTAGAGTTTATCTTGTCAGATCGGAGACCGGTCTACACGGTACGTTGCAAAATTAGTGCAAGTGTTGCCGTAGCAATAAGGTGCATAGGTTCTCTGCGCTGAATTTGTTCCAACAAGCCTCGAAATCAGAGATCCGGTCCCACGATTTCACTCTTTCAATGTATTGAAGACCGCAATGGTCGAAGATGGGTGCAGGTGGCTCGATGATAAGATCGCCACATTATCACCCCGGGAATTGTTCGAATCCCACCACCACTGCCTGACTTTCTCCATAGTGTCCGGAATGGTAGCTCTCTGATTGGTTGCTTCCCCGTTCCTGAAAATTGTATCTTTGTATATTCAACACAAGGAAATAAAATGAAAAGTAAAGCCAAAAAGGCGAACATCTTTATTTGCGAAAAAATGAGTCGGTTAGCAAACAGCTTTTGGATATTCCTAGTCTTGCTTTTACATAGCACATAGTGATAAAGCTTGCATAATGATAACCACATGAACAGACATCCTCTACTCTCTGCCTGCGATTAATGACCTTAAATTGAGCTGGTGGCTATGATTATTTAAAACATTTTCCACTATATGATATGTAAGGGCGTGACTAGGAATACCTGAAAACAGTTGTTCGCTCACCGACTCTTATTCTCATTGCTACCTTGGGAATATTCAAACCTCCAGCTGTCTTGAACTCAAAGTGCCTGGGTTTAGCAGTCATGTTAGAATGGGACACATGGCAGCCTGGTATACAGGGTCCAGCGAATGATCTCGCTTCGGGTCTGCCATGAATTTGCGCTGCCAACATGGAGAAGAATCTCATCCTTCACCTGACCACTAAGTACGGTAGAGCACTGGCACTTAAACATTGAGCTTTTGCATACCAAACCCGTGGCTATTCCGAAGAAATCAGCAGTCAGCTCTTACTGTGCGGTTTTTAACGATGCAACCGTACATCATAATAACCCTGGTTGCACCGCGCTGATTGGCTGAAGCTGGCTATTCGGATTACGCACATTATTGTTTCTGACAGTCCAAGATACCACTGAATACTGGTGAGAGTAACGTCAAATTTGTAGTAGTGTATTTTAAATAAGTCATGTGCGTGTTGTAGTGCACGTGCGTTTGAAGTTGTTGGACCCTCGTCTTCGTCGAATACATTGCTATCAGCATCCACAGCAGGACGTCTTGACACCGGAGATTGTTGTAGATGTTCTCTAGTGTCTAGCTCCATTTCTGATTGTTTCGGTAATACTAGTGTTTTTGTCGGCTGTACGGGGGTCTGCTTCGGTGGTTTTGGTCGCGGAGCGTCCTTTTACGATGTGATCACTCTAAAATTTTCTAAGTGTTTATATAGCTGTTCTACGAAATATCCCCGTTCGTCTACTGGTGGTGAGATGTATTATTATGTATTCGAAATGTATTTGTGACTGTAGTAGTGGTTAGCTAGTTCACGGAATGTTGCTATTGGTCTTGGATTGAATGGTTTGTTGTTTACAATATCCCATATGAAGAATACCTTGTGTATTGCATTTAGTGGCGTTTAGTATCTCGGGTTGCTTAGGACGTCTTCTATGTCCCTCCCTCGTTTACTGGGAACTGGTAAGTCTAGTGGTACAAATAACTTCCGTTTTACACAGAAACACACTTCGTATCACGTCGTGGAACATCAAATCAGCTTCATCGTCTAGGCTGTCACACCATTCTGTAACTTCGTTTTTGCGTAAAAAAACGAGGTTGTGAAAGCTGGTTTACTTATTATAAAAACATTTCAAATACCGTGCCTGAAAATGGCTGGCGCACAACATACATGATGACGTATTGTTTCCACTGGCTGTGACCATTTGCCATATGAAGTATACGTCCTATAGCGCTATTAACGGCCTGGAGTATTGGAAGGTGGTGAGTATGTCGTTCATTGTGCATCCTCTGGTTAGCCATATTAAAAACATTTCTCAGGCACACCCTTCAGGAAAGACAGCGCCAGTGTTTGGAGCGGTCAACTGAGTCGGAAGCCGCTTTCAGATCGAAAAGGATAGAGATGGTGGGTCTGCGGAAAGAATGTCCATGCTCCAGAATTTGGCAGAAAATAAAGACGTGGTCGATAAAACCTCGACCG